CAACCTTCCTTCCGAGGAGTGGCTGGTGGGTTTGAACCGCCAGCCTTCTGGTTAGCAGTCAAGTGCTTTAGCCACTATGCTACTAGAAGGGCCATATTAAATAATTCACTATATCACAGTGTTGAATTTTGTTAAATGCTTTTTCTGCATTGATTGATATGATCATGTGATTTTTCTTCTTTAGCCTATTAGTTTAGTGGATTACATGAATTGATTTTATTTTTAGAGATTTGTTAAATATTCTTTTAGTTATCATTCAAACAATCTACATATTTATTATTAAAACTATATTTTGTTTTATGAATTTTTACAAATTGTGATTTAGATGAAAGTTTACAGAGCAAATTGGTTTTCCATTCAATAATTCGTAGACATTTTTTTTGTGACATTCATTGTAATCCTCACAAATAATAGCACTCTTCCCACTTTGCCCCTATCTTTACCATTTCCCTAAGTCCTTTCTTCATATTTCTTCTTGCCTTCTTAGCTTTATCCCTGGACAAATGCTACCCTTTTGATCTCATTTGGTTGATTAATCTAATGAGTTCATACCTTCCTGGTATCATTGATCACCATATAGATCTGTCTGTCATTGGCTGAAAGGTGAGCTGTGGGAGTGAGTTCATTTCCCAGATTGAAGAATGTCTAAGGGCCAAAGTCTTGGGGGTTACACCAGTCGCAGTCAAACCAGTAAGCATGGTCTTTTTTATGATTTTGAGTTTTGTTCCACATTTTTATCTCACTGTATCTAAGAGTTCCTATTGTGATCCCTTTCAGAGCAGTCAACAGTGGTAGCCAGGCACCATCTAGTTCTTCTGGTGTAGGATCATAGAGGCTGGGGTTCACATGGTCCATTAGTCCTTTGGACTAATTATTTCCTTGCATCTTTGATTTTCTTCACCTTTTTTTTTTTTGCACGGGGAGAGACTATTAGTCGCACTTTGGATGGCAGCTCACAAGCTTTTAAGACTGATACTCACAAAAGTAGGATATAGAACATTGTCTTTGTAGACTATGTTATACCAATTGACCTTAGTGTCCCCTGAGACTATGGTCCTGAGCTCCCATGCCCAGTGATTCATTCCTCAAGGTGTTTGGTTATGACTAAGAAGTTTTCTTAACTTTGCCCTCTGGGTGCTGTCCTATACTCATGTATATATTTGCAGTACATATAAATACATATATAGAAATATTCTCTGTCAAATTGATATTTATTCATGGATATAGTCCCATTTGCCTTCCCACCCCTATTCAGCTTGAATGTTTGTTTTTCTATGTATCTACTCATAGATTATTGTTATTACTGTTATTGCAGGATTGTTGTATATGTAATGGTATTTACCTCTGCTGTCTTTAACTCTTGTGTTCCACCCAGTTTCTTCTTTTGCCTGGATCATTTTGTGCTGACCTTCCCTTTATTGTATATTGCCTTCCCCTTTTGCCAAGTTAATATGTACCTTCACTCCAGTTACCCTCCCATCCATTCCCTCCCCTGGTAAATATCAGAGAATGTTTCTTTCTTTTTTTGGTTGAGATGGCATATATTTTGTTATGTAGATTTTTACCACAATAAAATAAAATTTAAAAAGAAGACCTGTAGAATTCATCTCAACGAGTGGAATATATATATATATATATATATATATATATATATATATATATATATATATATATATATATATATATTTCTCTGCATATATGGATACACAAGTATTAAGACAAACTAATGATAATTTTTACTGAGGCAAAACTCACATAACATAAAGTGGTTGTTAGGTATTGCTGAGTGGATTCCAGTTCACAGCAACTGTAGTACAACAGAGCAAAGCACCATCTGGTCCTGTGCCATCCTCACAATCATTGCTATGTTTGAGACCGTTGTTGTAGCCACTGTGTCACTCCATCTCATTGAGGATCTTCCTCTTTTTTCTGACCCTTTACTTTACCAAGCATGATGTCCTTCTCCAGGGACTAGTCCCACCTGATAACATCCCCAAAGTACATGAGATGAAGTCTCACCATCTGTGCTTCTAAGGAATGTTCTGGCTGTACTAAAGAATGTTTCTTTTTGTGTGAAAACATTTTCTTTACTTTTTATAATAGTGGACTCATACAATGTTTGACTTTTTGTGATTGCCTAATTTCTCTTAGCATAATGTCCTCCGGGTTCATCCATGTTATGAGGTGTTTTGCAAATTCATCATTATTCTTTAATGAATACATCCATTGCATGTATATATCATAGTTTGTTGATTCATTCTTCCACTGATGAGTGTTTAGGTTGTGTCCATCTTTTTGGTATTGGGAATAGTGCTGTGATGAACACGCATGTGCATATATCTATTTGTGTCACAGCTCTTATTTCTCTAGGATGTATATACATAGGAGTGGCATTGATGGATCATATGGTATATCTATTTCAAACTTTTCAAGGAAGCATCATACCATTTTCTACAGTGGTTGGACCATTTACAGTTCCACCAGCAGTGTGTGAAGGTAGCAGTCTCTCCACACCCTCACCAGCATTTGTTGCTTTCTGTTTTATTTTTATTATTCTTTTTAACTTTGCTGTTAGTGCTGGGTAAGATGATATCTCATTGTTTTGATTTGTATCTCTCTAATGGCTAATGATTGCAATCATCTCTTCATGTGTTTCTTCTCCATCTGATTATCTTCTTTTGTAAGAGTCTGTTCATGTCCTCTACACATTTTCTAATTGGGTTTATTTGTCCTTTTGTTGTGATGGCAAACTTAATTGATTTTAAAATAATGAACAAGTCTTACATCCCTGGAGTAAATCCTACTTGATCATCGTATATGATTCTTTTCATATGTTGCTGAATTTTGTTTGCTGATATTTTGGTGAGGAACTTTGAACCTATATTCATGGGGAATATTAGTCTGTAGTTTTCTTTTTTGTCTTGTTTTGGTCAGGGTAATAGTAGCTTCATCAAGTGAGTTGGAAGATGTTTTTTCCTCTTCAATTTTCTGGATGAGTGTGTGTAGAATTGATAGTGATTCTTTAAACATTTGGTAGAATTCTCCAGTGAAACCATCTGGCCTAGAGATTCGTTTGTGGGGAGATTTTTAAATTATAAATTGAATTTCCTTAGTAGTTGTAGGGATATTAAAATTATCTATTTCACATTGATTGAGTTGTAGTACTTTTGTGTTTTTCAAGGAATTGGCCCATTTCATCTAAGTTGTCAAATTTATGTGTGTGGAGTTGTTCGTACTATTCTTTTGTGATACTTTTGATATCTGCAGGGTTGGTAGTGATATCTGTTTTCATTCTGATATTAGTAATTCATCCCTTTTCTTTTTCTTGGTCAACTACCCAAGAGGTTTATCACTTTTATTGATCTTCTTGCAGCTTTTTGCTTTGCTGATTCTCTCTCTTTTTTATTTGATTGAATCCTGCTCTTTATTATTTTCTTCCTTCTGCTTCCTTTGGTTTATCATGTTCTGAAAGGCTTTTCTGTGTTCTTAGTTGCTTAGATATTTTCATTTGAGATTTTTCTTCTTTTCTGATAGAAGCATTTTAGTGCTATAAATTCCCCTCTCAAAACTGCTTTAGCTGTATCCTACAAATTGTGTTATATTAAATATATACACTTTTAAATTGTGGTAAATATGTTATTTAGTATTTTTGTTTTCATTTAGTTCAAAATATTTTTTTCTTTTCCTTGAAACTTCCTCTTTGGACTAGGGATTGTTTAAATGTGTGTTGTTCAGCTTTCAACTATTTGGAGATTTTCCTATTACCTTTTTGTTACTGGTTTCTAGTTTGGAGAACATATTCTTTATGATTGCACTTCTTTAAGTTTTCTGAGGTTTATCTTATGGCCCAGTATATGGTCTTATATGTTGCATGGGTGCTTGAAAAGAACATATATTATGTTGTTGTTGGATAGAGTGTTGTGTAAATGCCAATTAGAATCAGTTGGTTAATGAGATTATTGAATTCTTCGGTGTCCTTTCTAAGCTTCTGTCCAATTGTTGTATCAATTGTTGAGAGAGGTGTTGCAGTCACCAGCAATAACTGCAGACTTTTCTCTCTTCTTTCAGTTCTATCAGTATTTGCTTTACATATTTTGCAGCTCAGTTGTTTGATGCAGACATATTTAGGATTGCTATATCTTCTTGGTAGGAGCTCTGGTAGCATAGTGCCTAAGGCACTTGACTGCTAACCAGGAGGCTGGCGGTTCAAACCCACCAGCCACTCCTTGGAAGGAAGGTTGGGCAATCCTACTTCCGTAGTGATACTGCCTCGGAAACCCAAGGAGGGGTCGCTATGAGTCGGGGCCGACTCGACGGCAAATAACAACACCAAAACATATCTTCTTGGTAGAGTTATCCTTTTATTTTTATGTAATGTCCTTCTCTGTATCTGGTAATTTTCTTTGCTCTGAAGTCTACTTTATCTGATATTTTACTTATTTTTGATTTTATGATTTGGGGATTTTGTAACTGAGGCTGTTTATCCCCTCTTTCTCCAGGAATACATCATTCGAGTGCAGAGAGGAATTTCTGTAGAAAACAGCTGGCAGGTAAGCTTTTTATTTTTGTCACTAGAAAAATATTTAAAATTGTGGCCAGAAACCTGACTTAGGGCATCTAAAAGTCTGGTGAAATGAAAACATGCGTGAATATAAATCATACTTTTCTTAGGTATAAATCTTTAGCTTTAAAACATGTATCATAAAAGGCTTCTGTGTTCCCATTTGTTTGATCAAATTCATATATGAGGTTACCACTGTTATAGAGGACATAAACACAGATCCCTTGTTTTGTTCCTAGAAATTCAAACCTCCTTTTCTGCAGCAGGAGTAGAAAGATAAGTGCCCTGGATAGTATCCAGTTGGGATATTGCATTTTGTGGACTTCTGAGTCCACTCATGGGTAATTTTTAGTGCTAGCTCCTTCACTAACTCTAGTGGAGAATCTTTTTGGGGTAGCAGGTTCTACTTTCCTCAGTTCTACTTTTCCTCAAGAGAGAAAGAACCTCCTACCCTGCCCTAGAGGTCCATCTCACACCAATTGCTTTGCAGAGGGTGGGTGGATTTTGTATAGGGGCCATTTCTTTCCTTCTACTCCTACCTTGTTCTTGTAAAAATCTTACAATCTTACCTTGTCCTTCTTTGCAGCCCATTTCAAACCTTACCTGTCGCCTTAAGCAGTCTCTGACCACAGTAGTCCCACATTTGATCTTTTCTGTGCCTGAAGTTTCAGCTGTTTTCTGTTTGAATAATTATAATGTTTGACATACATTGAGCATTTATTCAGTTTTAGGTACTAGGTCAAGCTCATTTATTTATTTAACTCTCAAAAACAGTCCTATGTGGTAGTATTATCCCCATTTTACATTTGAGTGGTAAGTAACTTGTCCGAGGTCACATTCAAATCAGTGACAGAGCAGGGTTGGAATCTGTGTCTTCTGGTGAGCCTGTGTGGTTAACCACTCACTTCTTTGTACTTATGAAGGATAGCCTTATATTTAACTTTTTTTTAAAAATTTATTTTATTTTCTGTTATTGTTGAGAATATACACAGTAGGACATACACCAATTCAACAACTTCTACATGTATAATTCAGTGCATTGATTGCATTCTTCAGAGTTGTGAAATCATCCTCACATTCCTTTTCTGAAATGTTCCTTCTCCAGTCACATAAATTCACTGCCTCCTAAGATTTCTATCTTATCTTTCAAGTTGCTGTTGTCAGTTAGATCCCACATAGTTCTTAAACGAGCACAATGCTCAAGGCGTACATTCTTTACCAAGTATGCTAAACTATCATTTGGTTTAAAGAAGACTTTAGGGGATATTTTTGGTTTAAGTTTTTAAGATTATCTCATGGCAATAGTTTTAGGGTTTCGACCAGCCTCTATGGCTCTGCACAGTCGGAGTCCATGAGCATCTCAAATTCTGTTCTGTTTTTTCCCCCTCTATCAAAATTCTTTATAGAACCTTTGATCAAAGTGTTCAGTACTGGTAGCTGGATACCATCCAGTTCTTCTGGTCTTATGGCAAAGGAGGCAGTTGTTCATGGAGGCAATTAGCCACACATTCCATTTCTACCTCCTTTTCCTGATTTTCCTTTCTGTCTTGTTCTTTTTAACTTTTTGATGTCTACTTGGCAAGCAGAGCCAATAGCAAGGTCCAGTCTTCTTGTCCTATCATAAAAATCAATCCTTGGTGCAACTTTCTAGATCAACTGCCTTAGAATTCCTGGGAATGCTTGGTGAAAACGTAAGTTCTTGGGCCCCACCCTCGATCTACAGAATTAGATTCTCTGTGGATTGGGCCCTGGGGAATTTCCAGGTAATTCTTCTGCACATTGACGTTTGAGAATGACCTATAAAGGCTGAGGTCAAAGTGTTCAACAGCAAAATAGTTTTCTTTCCCAGGCTGTGAAGCTAGTAGAATTTGGCTGTGGCATAATCCATGGCATCAACATAATTAAATCAGAATGTGTGTATAATTTTTTTTTTAAATGCATTTTATTGAAATATAATATATATATATATGTAGTGAAATACACCAAACTAAAGTGACATGGGTCAGTGCATTTTTTTTTTTTCCTTTTTGTAGTGTTCCTCCCCTGCCTCCTACCCCTGGCAACCAGAGAAAATTTCCCTCCATATATAAACCTTTCCTTGACCCTCCACAACAACGAACTAATATTATATTTGTCCTTCTGTGATTGACTTATTTCATTCAGCATAATGTCCTCCAAGTTCATTCGTGTTATACAGTCTTTTGCAGACTCTACATTATTCTTTAGTGCTGCATAGCATTCCATTATATGTATGTATCATAGTTTGGTCATGCACTCTTCCATTGATGGGCATGTCGGTTGTTTCCATCTTTTTCCTATTGTAAATAGTGCTGCAGTGAACATGGGTGTGCATGTATCTGTTCCTGTCCTGGCTCTCACCTCTCTAGAATATATACCTAGTAATGGGATTGCTGAGTCAAACGGATCTCTAATTCCAGCTTTCTAATACTGTTTTCCACAGTGGTTGTGTCACTTCACAGTCCCACCAGCAGTGTATAAGAGTACCAATCTCCCCACATCCCCACCAGCATTTGTTATTTTCTGTCTTGAACCTTGCCATCAGTGCTGGGATGAGACAGTATCTCGTTGTTTTGATTTGCATCTCTCTAATGGCCAGTGATTATGAGCATCTCTTCATGTATTTGCTGGCCACCTGAATATCCTCCTTGGTGAAATGTCTATTCATGTCTTCTGCCCATTTTTCAATTGGGTTGTTAATGCCTTTGTTGTTGAGGCATTGGAGTTTTTTTAAATCTTAGAGGTAAGTCTCTTGCCAGATATCTAATTATTCACAAGTATGAATTTGTTGCTGTCATTTTTGTTATGTGCTTTTTCATGGTGTTAATTTCTTTGTTCCATAAAATTTTCTGTGCTGAGCTCATTTCGTTTATGAATTGTGTTATCACTTCCTTTTCCTTGTTTTGTTTGTATGTTATCTACGTAAGCAGGGTACTGTGCTCTACTCCTCTGTTCGCTAGTTGGCAGCACTTATACACTCACCACTTGTCTCCTTTCCTGTTGTCAGCCTCCCATATGTCCCTGCCATCCTTGGGAAATGGAACCTATTCTTAGGTCCCTGGAATCTGAATCAGAATGTGTATGCAATTGAAGGCAGATGGTCTGCCCGGAAGTAATAAGAAGAAAGGGAAACATCGGTACAGTGGACTGGATTGGAGATCAGGGAGTGTGGCATCTCTGGCTATGGGTACCGTCCAATCTCTAGAGTGGTGGGATCTCAACTGGGAGAAGTTTTACACAGGGCAAGGATAAATGGCTTCAAACTGTCTATCTGTTTTTGCTTTGATACCATGATCAGGAAAACTTTTTTTTTTTTCCTTTTCTTTTTAAATCATTAATTTATCTTTCCAGATAGCTACATAGTAAGAAAGACATTTAAAGGGCTTTTTGCTTTGGAAATGAATGCATTATCATTCTCACTTACCTTTTGGTATCTTGCCAGTTTCTTTCTTTCTTTTTAATTGTGATTTGGGTGAAAGTTTACAGAGCAAATTCACTTTCCATACAGCATTTCACACACACTTTGTCTCATGACATTTACTACAGTTTACACCAATGCAACAGCTCCCCTTCCACTTCCTCCCCATTGTTACCTCTTCCCTGTGTCCATCCCTCCATGCACTCCTGCCCCATGAGCTGTCTCCCTGTGCATAAACAGCCCTTCTTTCTCCCATGATTGTTCTCTCCAAGGAGTGTACCTACTCCTTGGTAAATGTTCAACTTGTATGCCTGCTTTTTGTTTGGTTGGAAGCCCCAGATGTGGGTTCAATTCCAGACCCGAAGAGCAGCTAGGGGCCATAGTGTCAGTGTTCCACCAGGCTCTATCAGACCAGCAAACCTGGTCCTTTTTTTTTTCCCAAATGATTTTGAGTTTTGTTCCACATTGTTCTCCCTCTCTATCTAGAATCTCCTACATAGATCCCCCTCCAAGTTCTTGCCAGTTTCTTATGGTTCAGCCAACTCTGGGACATTGGTAGATCTGTTTCCTGGGTCTGTCTAGTGAAGCACCCTACTACCTTCAATGCAAGTACCTCAGTCTTAGAATGCCAATAAGTATTAAATAAGGAAATGTATATCTGAAAAGCAAGGTTTTTGCTGAGTCAAAGCACTACTGTCTTATCTCTTACAGATTGTTAGAAGATACAGTGACTTTGATTTGCTGAACAACACCTTACAGGTAAATGTTTTGAAACTCCGGTGATACACATTGATTTCTGGAGGTGACTTAAAAACTGGTTGGAACTGGCAATATCAGGAACAAGAAATTAGCAAATTTCTCAGGCAATAGTCTTGTTCTTTAAACAGATAGAGATGTGTAGCTCTAAAAATGATAAAATTTTGGGAACAAATGTGATTTCTAGTTAATAGTCATCTTGCAATTGAGTACCAGTGTGCCACACTACATCCTCACCATAGTCAAGGGAGGCTGATGCATTACCTTCTTTTTACAGATTAGGAATGTCTGCTAGAGTTGTTCACTTAGATGGAGCTGGAACTTGGACCTCAGTCCATCTGGCTCCCAAACTTACACTGTCTGCACGAAACTAGGCTGTCAGCATTGCAAATAAGCATTTGGCATTAACAGTAGAGATTCAACCTTTTCTGGTGTAACTTTTTTCTCTTAAATGCACATTCTTAAATTCCTTTTTTTTTCTTTTTTTTTATTGTGAGATGGGTGAAAATTTACAGAGCAAATTCACTTTCCATATAGCAGTTCACATATACTTTGTCTCATGACATTGACCACAATTCACCATAATGCAATAGCTCCCCTCCCACTTCTTCCCAATAGTCACTTCTTCCCTGTGTCCATCCCTCCATGCACCCCTGCCCCCTGAGCTGTCTCCCTGTGCCTAAACAGCCCTTCTTTCTCCCATGATTGTTCTTTCTAAGGAGTATGTCTACGTCAGGTAAATGTTTAACTCCTATGCCTGTCTTTTATTTGGCTGGAAGCCACAGGTGTGAGTTCAATTCCAGACCTGAAGGGCAGCTAGGGGCCATAGTCTCAGTTGTTCCACCAGGCTCTATCAGACCAGCAAACCTGGTCCCCCACCCTTTTTTTCTCCCCAAATGATTTTGAGTTTTGTTCTACATGGTTCTCCCTCTCTATCCAGGATCTCCTAGATAGATCCCACCCTGAGTGGTTGATAGTGGTAGCCAGTCACCATCTAGTTCTTCTGGTCTCATAGTTGTATAGGCTGTGGATCACATGGTGTACCAGTCACTACGACTAATTGTTTCCATGAATCTTTGGTTTTCTTCATTCTTCTTTGCTCTGGATGAGGAGAGACCCCTCGTTGCATCTAGATGGCTGCTTATAAGCTTTTAAGATCCCAGTTGCTACTCGCCAAAGTAGGAGGTTGAACAATGTTTTGTGTTGTATGTTATGCCAATTGAGCTTGATGTCCCCTGTGACTATGGTCCCGAGCCCACAGGTTCAACTGCTCGCTCCCTCTCGGTAGCTGGCTGTGCCCAAGAAGTGACTATAACCTTGTTCCTTGTCAGCTCTATTATACACCTGGGAATTCATATCATACAAATATACTTATAGGACCATTGTCTGCCAACCCTATACATGGTCTTGAGTACACTCCTCGCTTCATAGACATACCTAATATTTCAGCCTGTCCACCCATCTATCCACCTGTATACCCGTGTTTACCTTCACTGACATTGCAGTACTGTATGTGTGAAAGGGTTCATCTCCGTTGTCTGTACCTCCTGTGTACGTTTCTCTGTCTTCCTCTTCCTCAATGCTACCATGTTGATCACTCACGTTTGGTACCTTGCCCTTCTCTTCACCCAAATCAGTACTTATCTCTACCTGTCTAACAGTGTTTCCTCCCCTCCCCTCCTACCCCTGGTAACCAACAAAGAAAATTTCCTTCCATAGATAAACCTTTCCTTGACTACATTCTTAAATTCTTTTGATTTAAGTGTTCCTAACTTGGTGGCCAAGGACTTCTGGTTGCAGTGGTTAAGTGCTTGGCTGCTAACCATGCTTCGCAGTGTGGCAGTCCGCTTCCATAAAGATTACAGCTTTGGAAACCCTTGAGGCAGTTCTGCTCTGTCCTGTAGGGTTATTGTGAGCTGGAATCAACTCCATGACAATGGGTTTGGTTTTAACTTTAAAAATGGGAAGAGGGATGAGCTCTAAAGGTTTTCTCTGAGAACACAGCCAGTGCTGGTAATGATTGTAGAGTCTTAGAGAGACTTCAGCACTATAAGAAGTACTGGCAATATTACCTATGTCTTCACTTGGCAGAGTGATGTTCAGGTGCTGTGGATTACTGAAGACCCTTGGGCTTATGTCATACTTCAGATTTGATTGGTAACTTAAAAAAACCAATTGCTGTCCAATTGATTCCAATTCATGGCAACCCCATGAGTATCAGAGTAGAACAGGGTTTCCAGAGGTTTGTTTTTCAGAAGAACCTCTGGGTGAATTCAAACTTCAGCCTTTTGGTTAGCAGCCACCATTAACCATTTGTACTAGGGACAATAAAACATAAAACCCTTTACATCTGCGCCAGAGAAGTGCTTGGCTTACTACCATCTCAGCTGGGAGGTCAAGGACTGCTCTTTCTTCTAGTGAGCTAGCCATTGTCACCTTTTTGAATGACCTCTGATTCTGTTCACAAAGGTGAGACAGAAAGACTGCTGGCTGAGGAAGTTTCCTTCCATAGGCCAAGTTTTATGTATCAGACTTCAGAAAATAGCATTTGTAGAGTCCAAACTTTAATGTTTATTTACAACAGTGCTAAAACCATGCATGCCTTATTTTCCTTCTGGTAAAATAGTCCTGAGTACCATAAAACTTTATATAATTGTCATACATTTGACACATGTTGTCTTTTTATTTTAATTGCAGTATGACCATTTCAAATCTCCAGCTAGATTATTGGGCAAGATTGAATACTCCTCATTGACTGATTTAATTGGTTTCATTTAAGGATTTAATTTATTCTTTCAATTTAGACTAAAGGTGAGGGACATGCTAGATAAGGCACTGGAGGGCAATTTATCCCAGCAGTGGATTTTCCCCATAAGCCCCACCAGATGTAGTGGTCCACATGACATTTCTATATTTGAGAGTTTAACATTGGGCTTGCTATGTATTTGTGCTTTTATGCATAAATGAACTTTTTCTCAGTTTTAAACAAGAAAGGTGAGTGGGCCTTTGTACAATGATGTTGAACCAGGGCTGAGTAAGAATTATGGGAGAAATATTTCTGAAACCGAAATAGACACATTCCAGCCCCAGAGAATGGTGATGGTAGGGTGTGGGTGGGAGGACTTATCTCCCATTTGCTCTTACATTGAGGATATAAGGTTGAATGCCCATGATTACTCAGTTATGATCTTTTAAACACAATATGTATGTATTTTTGCTTCAGTGTAACTTTCTCTTTAAAAATAATCACTTTAAATGTGCATCTTATTTCAAATGCAAATATACATGTGTATTGATTGATGTTGGCATGTGTTGGACAGGATGCGGCCAGCATCATTTCAGTGGGGGGTTTTTCTGGATCCAAGTAAACAAACAGAAGAAAGTACGTACAGCTTTTTGGCATCAAAATAATTTCAAAATAAGCTCCATTAAACAGACCAAAAAGACTCCAAAACCACAGAGCAAAGCTGTGACTGTGATTTTCAGTCTTTGCTTACCCTTTTGATAGATAAATGAATTACTGCTAAAGACAGAGAAATACACTACACATATGCACAGTTGTCAGGGTCCATAAGAAAATGCTTAAGTGAGAAGGAAAGCAGTACATAAAATTATACATACAGTATAATATAATTACATGAAATGTTTAGGAAAAAAGATTAGAAGGGATTATGCCAAAATGGTAACAGTGGTGACCTTGCCATGTGGTATCATTATGCATTCTTTATTTTTTTAGGTTCTCTATACTGTTCTGTCCTTTCTAAGTTCTCTACAAAACAGGACATATTAGATCTATAAGTAAAAAAACAGGAAAAACACTACATTTCCCAAACTTTTACAGTGCATATATATTACGTTAACAACCAAGAAAACTCACTACCTTATTTTAAGGCAAAGAAAGATTGGGTGGTGCAGTGGTTAAGTGCTAGGCTGCTAACCAAAAGGTTGGTGGTTTGAACCCACTAGGAGCTCTGGTAGCATAGTGGCTAAGACACTTGCCTGCTAACCAGACGGCTGGTGGTTCAAACCCACCAGCCACTCCTCGGAAGGAAGGTTGGGCAATCCTACTTCCGTAGTGATACTGCCTCGGAAACCCAAGGAGGGGTCGCTATGAGTCGGGTTTGACTCGACGGCAAATAACAACAACAACAAAGCTGCTCCATGGGAGAAAGCTGTGGTAGTTTGCTCCCATAAAGATTACAGCCTTGGAAACTCTGTCCTTTAGGGTCACTATGAGTCAGAATCATCTCAACAGCAGTGGATGTTTGGTTTATTTTAAGGCAGCAACAAAATTTGTCATCATTTAAGGAAGGATGCAGTAAAGAAAAAGAGAAGAAGAGTGAAATGTTGGAAAATAGGCAGAAAGCCCTGAGACTTAGGAAGGATTCCTGGATCTGCCCCCTCCCAGAAATGAGACCTTGGGACAGTCATTTCTTTCTCAGGCCTCACTTTCCCTGCTGGAAACAAAGAGGTTGAACCGGATGATCTCTGAAGTCTCTTGTAGTCTCTGAAGTCTCTAATTTTTTTTATTTGAATTTTACAACCTCTTATTGACCTAAAAGGAGCCCTGGTGGTGCAGTAGTTAAAAGCCCTTGGCTGCTAATCAAAACGTCAGCTGTCTGAACCCACCAGCTACTCCTTGGGAGAAAGATGTGGTGGTCTACTTCCATAAAAAAAAATTACATCCTTGGAAACTCTATGGGGGCAGTTCTACTCTGTCCTATAGCATTGCTATGAGTCGGTATTGAGTTGATGGCAGTAAGTTTTGTTTTGTTTTGGTTTGTTGACCTAGGATACACTTCACTGTCTACTGTGGGGAAGCTGGAACAAAGTAGGATCTGTTGAGGGCTTAGAACTTCCTGGAATACTGACTGGAATATGGCTGAGCAATTTGCAGATCATTAAGATCTGATGATGGAAGTGAGTAAGGAGAGGTTAACTCATTCAGAGTTTGAAGTTTTTCCCTGCTAATAAAAGCTTTTACTAGGTTAGCAATAGGCCAGATTACAGGCCCTCTGCTCACTGTCTTGTTCTCTTTTTCCTTGTACAAGGAACTCAAGAACAGAATCCATAGAGCAAATTAAAAAGGAAAGCTAGTGAAAGTGGAACGATGATAGCCTGGTTTGGGGCCATGATCAGTGTGGACATGTCTAGCAAATCAGTGTCTTAGTAACTTGATCACTCTTATGTGCTAGCTTCTTTCTCCTCCCTTTTAATTAGTCATTGGAGTTCTACATTTTATATTCTGTGATTGGTAGAAATTTTCAAAAGTCTAGGAGAAAGCTGGGAGAGAAAGCAAGTGAATTTTCTATGGTAATCTTTTTAAAAAGGCAAGATTTTGAAGTAACACACAACACCTTAAACTAGGTCAAGAAAAACACCTCCAGTCTGTCTGACATTGCAGGGACACTATAATCACAGATGTTTGCAACTGTTGGCCGGAGAACTCTTTGTTTCACCTGATAATTTGGAAGAACTGATGGGATATCTAGACAGATCAATACATTTTCCTAAAGTGAAATAAAGCTTGAAAAAAATAGATTGGTTAAATGTTGAAGCCACAAAGTTCTAAACAGATACTTTATCAAATTCATTCTCACATCCCCACCATGAATAAAAAATACCCAAAATAGTAGAGTTTGAATTCAGTGATGTCGGACACATCTCTCTATTCTGAATTATGTAGGATTCAGTTGGTCATGTTGTTATACAGGTAGTACAAGAAAATCTGTTTTTATTTTTATCCTTGCTGTATATACAGTCAGGAGCTCAGGTGGCATAGTGCCTAAGGCATTTGACTGCTAACCAGAAGACTGGTGGTTCAAACCCACCAGCCACTCCTCAGAAGGAAGGTTGGGCAATATGCTTCTGTAGCATACACAATCAGTTTGGTAAGCAAAAGAGGTTTCTTTTTTTAATTGAAAAAAGTAATGTATAAACACTTTAAATAATTCATAGTTTAGAAATTAAAAAAAAAAATTGATTAACCAACCCACTCCCCGAGTTGACAGTTGTTAACTAGCTGGTATAAGTACTTTTAGACCCTTTTTGTGCATCTATAACTATATTCTTGGGCTTGTACACACACACACACTCACACACACTTAAAAATAGATGAGATTATATTCTTCTACTTAATAAAAGAATTTTTAAAAGGAATAAATTAGTTGTGTTTTAAGTAGTATATTACCTTTGATTTAACACTCCATGCTCCCAGACAAAAATAATAATATAGTCATTGGCTTGGGTGTATGTTAGCTGAGCGCTGTGCTTTCTTCATAAATATGCATTTTATTTAGTTAATAAAAAAATAGGCTGTTAAGTAAAGCCTAATAGTGTGGATTAAGGAAACAACCTAAAATTAAAGTTTTTTATCTGCCAGTCAATTATGCCACAGTAGAAAATTTACTTGCAGTATGCTGTGACATGTTTCCATAATTATGTTAGAAGATAGGCAATTTAGAATTGTCAGCCAGCTTTCCATCTTGTCTAATATCAGATTCAAGGTCTTCATTTGGCTGCATCATTGTTTGAAAAATACAGCATGGAACAGGCTCAGCTGGGTTTGCCCACATGGATGGTTTAGATTACGTCCTCGTCCGAATTCAGGATGCCATTCTCTTTAGACCTCTCCCTCGATCAATACACATGCCACTTGGACTGCCCTGATCTAAGCACAAGTGTCGAATAGCACTACTCTTTGAAAGTGACTTTGCTCATTGAATTAAGATGCCAACCTGATTTTTTCTTCTTTTTTTTTTTTTTAGTTTAAAAAATAAACTCAAAGTTTTAAATGATCTAGGAAATGATAGTAGATTGAGTACCTATGTTTACTTTTTCCTCCCTACTACTCTAAAGCAACAGTAAACTGATGAAATTACACACACATACACACCCTGAAGGACAAATAATATAGGAGAGGAGAAACCTATGATAAAACATTTGAAGTCAAAAAGTCGTTGGATGTGAAATAACTAATTAAGCATATAGGGGAAGCAGGAAGAGGAGATAACCCCATTGAGTACCAGTTTACACTGATTCATTGTATACCATAGAACTCCCAAAAGATTCAACAATTAGTAGTACCAGATAACTCCAGAGTGGGGTAAGAAGCAGTGGGATCCCCACGTCTCCCCCTATTCGAGCTACCTAGGACTGCCCTCCTCCTCCAGCAGAAAACAAGAAACTTACTCTCTGTAGAAGTAAAACAGTTTTTAGACTGGGGAATGCAGGCGTTATTGAATACATTTACCTCATATATGTAGCATCCCTATCCCAGACTTCTTCCTCCATTCATTTCCTAGAATACCAGCAACCAGGCTCAATCCTCTAGACAGAGATTGGATGATTCTTTTCTGAAGAATCTACCCAGCCTATGAAGAAAGAAAAGCTAAAGACACTGAAGTCAGGGGTTCCCCAGTGATGAGTGAGCTTATCTGCTACAATAAAGCCTACAGTTAATAAGCCACTCACCCACAGCCTCCAATTAGCTTTTTGATATTCCTCTCTTAATTATGGGAGCTCTGGTAGCATAGTGCCTAAGGCATTTGACTGCTAACCAAGAAGGCTGGCGGTTCAAACCCACCAGCCACTCCTTGGAAGGAAGGTTGGGCAATCTACTTCCATAGGTGATACTGCCTCAGAAACCCAAGGAGGGGGGTCGCTGTGAGTCGGGTCCGACTCAACGGCACTTAACAGCAACAACACTTAAATATGAACAGTAAAGGATCACCAGACTCTTGAGGAACACTTTTAACATGAAAGACAGTGAATAAAACAAACAAGAAGAAAAAAAAAAAAAATAGGAGCTTTGAAAGAGCAGAAAGTATATAGTACGAAGAGCTATCCTTTATCATCTCAGGATGCTATTTATTTTAAAAAAATAGAAAAGACAGGTCATACCTAAAGGATCAAGAATCAGTACTGCTTCAACCATTTAAGAGCCACACTGGAAACTAAAAGACAATATAGGAGTTCTTTGAAATTCTGAAGAAAAAGTATTTCCAACTTAGAATTCCCCATCAATACTGATTGTGAATCAAATGTGAGGGTAGAATAGACATTTTTACATATGCAGGTTTTCAAAAAATTTATTTCCCTTGCTCCTTTTTTTGAAGAAGCTGACAGAGGGTATGCTCCACCAAAAACAAGGGAATTATCTTGAAAGAGGAAAAGGATGATATGGGATAAAAACAGGAGAGAGGCAAAGGGATCTCCAGGCTGGTGATGAAGGGAGTTCCCAGCATGCCAGCTTTGCAGCAAGTATAGGGGCACGAGTCCTGATTGGAGCAGATCGCAGGGCTCTGGGGCACACTCCTGAAAATGATATTGATGTAACTGTGCATCTGAATGAGTTGAGAGAAGGCTTAGAATTTGAAGTTGAATAGAAGAACTAAACAAAAAAAAATAGGCTACAAGTTGTGAGAAAGGAAAAGTAAGGATGGGTATTTGGTTTAGTTGTGAATATAATTTACCTAATGTAAACATAGGAGCCCTAGTGGCACAGTGGTTAAAGCATTCTGCTGCTAACCAAAAGGTTGATGGTTTGAACTCACCAGCCGCTCTGCACGAGAAAGATGAGGCAGTCTGCTTCCGTAAAGATTTACAGCCTGGGAAGCCCTATGGGACATCTCTATTCTGTCCTGTAGGGTCACTGTGGGTCAGAATTGACTTGATGACAGTGGGTAATGTAAGCATCAATATCACACTATAAAAAATGATAGTATAACTATGTTGGAAGGATTGAGGACAGGTTGTGTGTGAGGTAAGGTCAGGATTGTGAAAGAGAACTGAACCCTCATCTTTCACCATGGGGAATTTATGAGGTAATGCCTAAAAATGAAAAATCAAGATTTAAAAGTACAAGCTTTCTCCAATGCCAAAAGAACTGCTGAAATAATTGAATGTAAATGTCTTTGAAGAGGAATGTCATGGACTGCCAATAATAATGAAAAAAGGACTATTTGACTCTGAAAGTTATATTCATGGATAACTTCTATAAAAATAAAAAAAAACACTTTTTAAAACATAAACTTTAAATTTACTATGCTTAATCCAATATTTTATCAATTCTAAGATGCATTTGTTTAAGAATGTTTATAAAACATTTTTATTTTCGCTGAAATTGTGATGTCTTAGATTTAATGAACTACTGTGGGTCAAGATTCTGATATTATATATCTTACTTGAGGATAACAAGAATATAATGCCTTTTTTCTTTCTTTCTTTAAGATTTCAGGCCTAAGTCTACCTCTTCCTCCCAAAAAATTGATTGGTAACATGGATCGTGAATTCATAGCTGAGAGGCAGAAAGGTCTTCAGAACTATCTCAACGTTATCACCACAAATCATATCTTGTCTAATTGTGAGCTGGTTAAGAAGTTTTTAGATCCAAACAACTATGCTGCAAACTATACTGGTAAGCAGAGGAGGCTGTGAGCTACAGTAATACAAGCAAAGCTATGCCGTTCTTTGCTAGAAATACCTTATGTGAGGAGAAACTACTTCCGATTGGGGAAGTATCCACATTTGTGATAGAGTATTGTTCCTTTAGTAATACTTACTTGATTGGAATTTGCTGTAGATATACAAGTAGAAAATAATTTGCTTCCAAAATGTTCATAATGTCTGCACAGAAAAATATGGAAGAGAAATGATCATGTCTGTGTACTTAGTCATTTTTAATATAAAATTTTTCCTTTACTTATTTTTAACAACTATCAATATTTTACCATATTCAATTCCTTTTTAAAAGAGAAATATTACTGCAGTTACTGAATCCTGTCATTTCCCTCTCTTACCAGAGTAACCACTATCCTGAAGTTGCTCTCTATCCTTCCTTTCCATTTTTAATATTTTTATTACACATGTAAATATCCCTAAACTATGTCTGTTTTATATGATACTGTTTTTTATCTTTAACATTTACATAAATTAAATACAACTTCCATTGTTTTGTTTTTTAATTTTATTTTGTTGTTGTTATTATTGAGAATATATAAGCAAAACACATACCAACTGTTTCTTTTTTTCCTTCTTCTTTTTTCATTGTTATCGTGCTTTGGATGTAAATTTACAAAGAGTATGTTTTCCGTTCAACCATTCATGCATGTTTGATTTCATGCCCTGATTACCATCCTCAACTATAAAAAACTCTCCTCCCCCCTCCTCCCTGTGACTACCCCCTTCCTCCGCCCTTCTTATCTATACATTCCTGTCTATCCAGCTTTCCCTCTTTGTGCATGCTGCCCCTCTGGTGTCTCATAGTGATGATCGAAGGGGTGCATCTCCCTAGAGTAGGGGGGTACATCTCCCTGGGGTAGGTGTTCTACATGTTTCTGCTGTTGGGCTGAGAGCCAATCCACGGAAGTGTATCCATCATATCTTTGGACTAATTGTTTCCAGATGGCTTTGGTTTTCTTCAGTCTTCTTTGCTCCAGATGAGAGGAGACTAGTAGTTACATCTTAGATGGCTGCTTGAAAGCTTTTCAGACCCCAGTCACTGCTCACTGAAGTAGGATGTAGAACAAGATTTTTATGTACTATGTTGTGGCCATTGAGCATGATGTCCCCCAAGACTACAATCCCGACCTTGCAGGCTTAGTGATTCTCTCTCTCAAGGTGTTTTGTTGTCTCTGAGAAGCTACTCCAACCCTGTTTTCTGTTATGTGTTTGGATAATTTTGTAGCACAAGTGCATATATGTAAGGTGATCTTCAGCCAAATCTATCCTTAGTCTTGGGTATATTCCTGTTTATCTACCCCTGCCTGATCTTCTCACCTGGCTATGCATTTACCTGTAGCCTAGAGTTTGGTGCCAGTGGTAATGCAATATTATGCATATAATAGTATTTTCCTCTATTGTCTTTATCGTTTTGCACGTTTCTTTGTCTTTCCTTTCGTAGTGTCACCATGCTGGTCACAGACTCTTTCTAAACCACCCCTCCCCTCACCTAAATCAACATGTGACCCCCAATTAGTCTGAAAGTTTCCTCCCCCTTCCCTCTCATCTCTGGTAATTAACAAAGTGAATTTCTTTCCCTGAGTAAACCTTTCCTTGACTTTTTATGATAATGGACTCACAGTATTTGTCTTTTTATCATTGATTTATTTCAGTCAGCATAATGTCCTCCAGATTCATCCATGTTGTGAGATGATTTGTGTATTCTTCATTATTCTTTAATGTTGCATAGTATTCCATTGTGTGAATGTACTATAGTTTGGTTATCTATTCATATGCTAATGGACATTAAGGCTGTTTCCATTTCTTTGCTATAGTGAATTATGCTGCAGTGAACATGGGCATGCATATGTCTGTTTGTGTCCTGTCTCTCACCTCTTCAGGGTATATTCCTAGTAATGGAATTGCTGGATCAAATGGTATTTCTGTTTTCAGTTTTTTAAGGAGATGCCATGCCATTTTCCACAATGGTTGTACCATTTTGCAGTACCACCAGCAGTGTATGCGAGTTCCAGCATCTCTGCAACCTTGCCAGTATTTGTTATTTTCAGTCTTTTTGAACTTTACTATTATTGCTGGGATGAGATGACTTGACTGCTAACCAGAAGGCTGGTGGTTCAAACCC